GGAGCACGTGAGTCGTTCGTTGTGAATTATAGCGTTTGTTTAAGTTATAGCGTGACCGTGGAAATTAAGTTAAATGCAAAGTTGTATTGAGAAAGAATAAACTAGCTTTATTTAAGAAATGACTTGTGTCGCTAAAGTTTCATCGGAAAGAAAGTATACGGGAAATTAACTAACGACCAGAGACGTAACAATAATATTACACGAATGCTAGTGACATGGAAGGTAGCCTTCGCAAGTAGTGTAATATTTTTGGGTGACATCAATAAGTAACAAAGTTACATGATTCATAAGTTTCAACTTCCTGTAACATGAAGATGTGTTGTTTCCTGAAAACATGTTACAAGTACTGTTTTATTTTGTTCGATTAGCAACTTATTTTCTTTATTAGCAGCGAGCTATTAATACAAAGTTAATGTCGAAAATACTTATATATCTTTTACAGCATTGTAGTTCTTGTAGAAACAAGGCTTAACAGTTACACTATTTAATGCTGAAAATTAATTCAACCCATTTGGACGAAATTATTATGCGTCAAGAAAAAAAAGGGGCTACCTTTATCGTGCCCACCACGAGTATTAAAACCCAGTTTTTCTACAAATATGTTCACGAAGAATTCCTTGATAACGTGTGTTATATAAATGTAACTATACTGTTCTTTTTCCGTCGGTGTTTTACACCGAATATAGTGTTATAGTAAACAGTGTTTCTGTGTTAAATATCAAATTTACTAGGTATGCTAATGTAACAATTAGATATGATTTAAAATAATATACTGATATAATGATATAATAATTACAAGTGGTAAACGGAAAAAGGTTGCAGAACAGCCAGGCTTGGACGTGTTCTTTAAAGATCAAGCACAATTTTTACTATTTGGCTGAATTTTGCATTATGTTACCTATCTCTCGGGGCAAAGCTGTGGGTTTGTTTGGTTTGGTTTGTTGTGAATTTCGCGCAAAGCTACGCGAGGACTATATGCGCTAGCAGTTCCTAATTTAGCAGTGAAAGACTAGAGGAAAGGCCGCTAGTCATCACCACCCACCGCCAACTCTTGGGTTATTCTTGTACAGCTCGCTTTCTCTTCCGTCTAACCAAACATAATGATCTTAAAATACGTATTTACTTGCTGATCACCAAATAGAATCAGGAAATCGCACTTGAACTGAACAAGTAAACTCGGTTTCTTTGTCCAGTCAATGGCGTTACATCGTGACTTTTTAGTAGGGTTGATCGTAACATTATAGCGCCCCTACGGCTGAAAGGGGGAGCATGTTTGGTGGGAAGGAGAATCGAACCCGTGACCCTCAGTTTGCGAGTCGAGCTCCCGAACCACCTGGCCATGCCAGACCTCTAAGCGGTGGGAACTAAAAGTTATTGATAACGCGCTCACCAGATGTCTCTGTTTCAACTAAGCTACTTGGCAATCCTGAAATCAACATGGAAATGTTAAAATTAGTAATAATTCTGTAATCAAAGGTATAGGCAATATGTATAATATCGTTTCCATTATTATTTCTATGTCAAACATTTTTTTTTAGCAACAAAACGACTCTCAGAGGAGGTGCTAGCTTATTTATGATGGATTATTTGGGTCACTGCATAAATTGAAGATGTCAATGCTCCTAAATACGTCCAAAAGAAGTAATTTTCGTTACAGAAAACTTTATATTGTGTTGTTTCTGTTGTTACGAACATCACTTTTATAAGTGAAATTCAAATAATTTCAAATAGAAATACTTGTGAACGCTAGGACATCGTAAACCTATGGCTTGTTTCGTAACTATTCGCCACAGCTACTCAAGGGCTATCTGGATAGTCCTCGTAATTTTGAAATGATAAACATGGGCGAAATCAATTAATCAACAGTACCCATCGCCACCTCGTGGGCTACTATGATAAAACAATTGGATTTGAGGGTCAATCTTATAACGCATCCACAACCATAAGCTGCGAGCGCGGTTTTTTGCGGCAACGGGATGCGAACCGCGAACCCTCGGATTTACAGTCTGACACGCTAATCATCGACTCGAAACTTAGAAGAGATATTAATTACACTGAGTGAATATTTGTAACTTCTGAATAAACTACTTAAGTTAAATCAGTAAGTTTACAGACTTACAACGCTAAAATTCAAGGTTCGATTCCCCGTGGTAGACTGATCGGAGATAACTAATGTGGTTTTGCGCTAAAACAAACAGATATAACCAGAGTAAGACGTTATATATATATTTCCTAGTCAGCGCATCTACAAAGTGACAGATAGTGGGATGACCTCTTTGGAGGTTGGCTGCGAATAAAGGCCAAATGTCGTAAGGACGAGGTGGGTCATCCTGGTGGTGCAGTTGTCCTGATCAAACGCTTCGTTTGGACGTCTTTGGTGGAGAGCTACGCCTTGCAGTGGACAGACAATGAATGAAAGACGTTATCTAAAATAGAAATAAAAGTGTGTGAGATGAGACTATTTCACCAATTCATAAGATATGTGTTGTCTTACGTCATTTACTTGATGTTTTTTAGGGCCTAAATTTGGATTAATAACTGTTTGTTTGTTTGTAGTTAAGCACAAAGCTACACAAAGGGCTATCTGTGCTCTGCCTACCACGGTTAATAACTGTAAACATATATATATACTAAACCTTTTAAATGTTTATAATATTATAACGCTTAAAGAGCGAGCATATTTGGCGGGATAGGGATTCGAACCCGCGACCCTCAGATTGCGAGTCAAGCGCCCTAA